CAGGAATGAATCCAGCTGGGCAAGAAGTAAGGAAAGAACCCAGGAGCCCTGGGACCCCCGAGGTCCCAGCCACAGCCATGATTCAAGCTCAGGGTCAACTCCCGGGCCCAGGTGGACTGAGGTCCCCTGTAGACACAGCTCCCCGCAGGCCTGACTTTTGGCATATCCTCATTTCAGAGGGAAGACCTGGTGGCCTCTTTGGAGGAAATGTGACATCCAATGAAGGAGTCTTTTTCTGTTTTCTGGCTTTGAACCCTTTCAAAATTTCAAAAGCATTTCTTTTCTCACTCTAAAAGGGTTCATTACAGACAATTTAGAAAATGCAGAAAAGTAAATAAACAAAGCCCCCATAATCCTATCACCCACGGGTGACTACTGTTAACATTGCAAGGTATGTCCTTTTCAGTATATAATTGTTACCCAATTATAGATACAGTATATATCTATATAGCATATCATTATACTATACACTATATAGTATATAGCGCTTTCTGACGAAAGCACTTGAGGCTTATTTAGTAGCAAACAGCAAATTTCAAGCCACTGATCAGAAGGTGGGGACATCACATCCAAAAACAAAGCCTGGATCATGGTGTCATGATTGGGGCACTTAGGCCTCCACTTCTGCATTCCCTCTATCTCTCCCATCAGAATTGACCTTGAGAACTAGAGAAGGAGAGCTGCACACTACAGTCCACAGAAAACAGAGAGCTAACTATAGAACAAGACAATGGGAACTCATGAGCACAATGAAAACATGATAGCAGGTTTCAGAAGAAATCACAAAAGAACAACATAAATCATGCCATATAAACTTTTTAAAATTCTGAGGATTAAATAAAGAAAAACTAAAGTCATCTATCTGACAGACTGGAGGAAGCATTTGCAGCAAAGCCTTTGAAGAATTAATTAAAAAGAAAACAGTATGATGACCCTAATAACTAAATGAGAAAGGGATATAAACTGACCTTTTGCAAACATTACTAGTAGTCAAAGTTATTAACAATTTGGAAATGAGATGCAATTTCTTGAACTAAAATTTAGCAACTTAAAAGTATATTACCTAGTGCAGGTAAGGGTGAGGTGAAATGGACACTCAAATCCATCACGTGGGCAAAAAGTAAATCAGTACAACCCTTAGGAAAGTGATGGAGGGATAGCTAAAGCTTTGACCTGTTACATCAGTTGACTCAGTAATTCCACTTCTAGGAATCCATTGGTAAGGAAATACTCCTAAATACTGAAAGGTTTTATGAACATAGTTCTTTGCAATGTTATTTATAGTGGTGAAGGAAATGAAATGTTTGACACTAAAAGAATGGATCACTAATTTATAGTCCATCCATTCAGTGGAACAGTACACAGTTATTAATAAAGCTGTTTATGGAGACTATACTAACATGGAAATAATTACGATATAATGTTACACAGAAAATGGATACAAATGTATAATCTCCACTATTTTTAGCAAACGAACGCATCATTAGGCAAAATGAAATGCAGCCAGAAAAGATTAAAGGGAGAACCCAAATAGCAGTTTCTGGAGGAGGTGGGTTTTCTGGGCCTTTAAAATTTTATTCTAACCTACCCATATTTTTAAACCTTTATTTATATATATGTATGTTTTATGTAAATATGTGTATTTACATTAAATAAATTATAGTAGAACTCCAGGTTAAAAAATCAAGTTCAAAGTGGTACACCCAAGCATGAGGTCCCAGTGCCAACTGCTCTTCAGCAGGCTGGGATGGCTTTATGATCTCAAGGTCTGGGCAGCAGAAGCCTGCAGAGGCCATGAGATTGTCCAAGTGCATGCCTGTGCAAAAGGAGTGACTATCACTAAAGTGCCACAGAATTGGGCTTTTAAGAAAGCTCAGGGACTTCCCTGGTGGTCCAGTGGTTAAGACTCTGCACTTCCACTGCAGGGAGCACAGGTTCAATCCCTGGTCAGAACTAAAATCCCGCATACCTCGAGGCATGGCCAAAAATAAAATAAATAACAATTAAAATTTAAAAAAGAAAGCTCAAGATCAGGCAGACATAGCCTTGAGAAAAGACACTTAAAAGTCTTTGAAATGCTGAAAAGTACACAGTAAAGGGAGCTAACAGGGTTCAATATGTGTCCCCCAAAGGAGTTGGATATACTTTGGCAATGAATAATCAGAAAATGTAATAAAGAAAATAATTCCATACAGTAGCATCAAAATGAATAAAAAAACAAATTCTTTTAATGCATAACTTATACTCTGAAAGCCACAAAACATTGTTGAAAGAAATTAAAGATCTAAATAAATGGAAAGATACCCCATATTTGCTGATCAGAAAGACAACTTGATATTGTTTAATGAGAAATACTCTCCAAACTGATCTACAGATTCAACACAATACCTATCACAGTCATGCTGGCTACTTTGCAGAAACTGGCAACCCAGTCCTCAAATTCATATGGAAATTCAAGGGACCCAGAACTGTCAAAACAATCTTGAAAAAAAAAGAACAAATTTGGAAGACTCACACTTCATGATTTCAAAACTTTGTACAAAGTTACAGTAACTAAAACGTTGTGGTTCTGGTGCGAGAAGAGACTTAGGTAGGTGGAAGAGAATTGAGAGTTGTGAAGTAAACCCTCATATTTATGGTCAGTTGATTTTTTTGAAGATGGTGTAAAGACGATTCAATGAAGAAAGAATAGTCTTTTCAACAAATGGTGCTGGGACAGCTGTATGTCTACATGCAAAAAAAATGAAGTTGGATCCCTCACCACACCATACACAGAAACTAACTCAAAATGGATCAAAGACCTAAATGCAAGAGCTAAAACTATAAGAAGAAAATATATGAGTAAATGTTTGTGACTTTACGTTAGATGTGACATCAAAAAACACAAGCAACAAAAGCAAAAAGTAAATGAATTAGACTTCACTGAAACTAAAAACTTTTGTGCTTCAGAGAATACCACCAAAAAAAGAAAAGAACCCACAGAATGGGAGAAATTATTTGCAGAGCGTATATCTGATAAGAATATTTTTAAAATATTAGAATATTTTAAAAATATTTAGAATATTAAAAAAAAAAACCTCTTACAGCTCAGTAATAAAAAGACAGCTCAATTAATAAATGGACCAGAGGGCTTCCCTGGTGGCGCAATGGTTGAGAGTCTGCCTGCCGATGCAGGGGACACGGGTTCGTGCCCCGGTCCGGGAAGATTCCACATGCCGTGGAGTGGCTGGGCCCGTGAGCCATGGCCGCTGACCCTGCGTGCCCAGAGCCTGTGCTCCACAACGGGAGAGGCCACAACAGTGAGAGGCCCGTGTACAAAAAAAAAAAAAAAAAAAAAAAAAGGACCAGAGATCTGAATAAACATTTCTCCAGAGGAGATATACAAAAGCACATTAAAAAATGGTCAATATCATTAATCATTAGGGAAATGCAAATCAAAACCACAGTAAGAGATCTATTTAAAAAAGAAATAACAAGTGTTGGTAAGGACGTAGAGAAACTGGAACCCTTGTGCACTGTTGGTGGGGATGTAAAGTGGTACAGATGCTATAGGAAACAGTATAGTGGGTCCTCAAAAAATTGAAAATAGAATTACCATATGATCTAACAATCTGACTTCTTGGTATATACCCCAAAGAATTGACAACAGAGCCTCAGAAAGATACTTGTACACCCATGTTCACAGCAGCATTATTCATGATGGACAAAAAGTGGAAGCAACCTAAGTGTCCATTAATGGACAAATGAATAAACAAAGTGTGGTATATACATACAATGGAATATTGTTCAGCATTTAGAAGGATGGAAGTTCTAACATGTGACAACGTGGATGAAACTTGAGGACATTATGCTAAGTGAAATAAGCTAGTGGCAAAATGACAAATACTGTATGAGTCCACTTATATGAGGAACTTAAGAGTAATCAAGTTCATAGGGACAGAAAGTACAACAGTGGTTGCCAGGGCCTGGGGGAGGGTGGAATGGAGAGTTACTGTTTAATGGGTACAGAGTTTCAGTTTTACAAGATGAAAAGAGTTCTGGAAATGGTTGCACAACAATGTGAATGTACTTAACACTACTGAACTGTACACTTAAAAATGGTTAAGATAGTAAATTTCATGTTAGGTATTTATTACCACAATTTAAAATTAAAATAAATAGATCCATAAAAAAAGAACTTTACAGCAACAAATGGGCAAAGGATCTATTGAATAGCTGTTTCTCCAAAGAGATATGCAAATGGCCAATAACCACATGTAAAGATGCTCAACACCGTTAGCTATCAAGGAGATGCAAATCAAAACCACAGTGAAATGCCACTCCAAACCCACAAGGATGGCTATGATAAAAAAAAAAAAAAGGCAGATAATAGCAAGGATTAGTGAAGATGTGAAAAATCAGAACTCTCAGACACCGCTGGTGGGAATGTAAATTTCCTCTTTGGAAAATAGCTGGGCATTTCCTCAAAAGGTTAAATATATAGTCACCACAAGACTCAGAAATTCTAGGTATATACTCAAGAGAAATGAGAACATATGTCCACACAAAAACTTATACACAAATGTTCACAGCAGCAGTATTCAGAGAAGCAGAAACCCAAATGTCCATCAACTGCTGATTGGAGAGGTAAAATGTGGAATGGCCACACAGTGGAATATTATTAGGCAAACAGAAGGCATGAAGTACAAACACAGGCTACGACATGGATGAACGTTAAAAACATTATGCTAAGTGAAAGAAGCCAGTCACAAGAGACTGTATGATTCCATTTATATAATAGGTCCAGAAAAGACAAATGTATAGAGACAGAAAGTAGATTAGTGGTTGTCTAGGGCTGGGGGGTTGTGGGGAAATGGGGACTGCTAAAGGGCATGGGGTGTCTTTTGGGGGTGATGGTTGCATAACTCTGAATACACTAAAAAGATGGACTTGTACACTTTAAGTGGATGAATTATATGGTATGTGAACTATATCTCAATAAAGCTGTCATTAAAAAAAAAAAAAGGAGCCGGTGCCGGTTCCACCCTAATCGTACATACCAGAAGGCTGATCACTTTGAACCATAGACTACTGTGTTGCTGTGCACCTGGACTTTGAAGTGAATTTGTTTCAAGCCCACAGGCTGGCCTGCACACCGGGACTGGGGGAACGTGATGACTCCCCAAAGAGTGGCACAGGACATGGGGGCAAGTGGGAGTGTATCATGGCCTCCCAAACTCCCAGAGAGAAAAAAATGCAGTTAACTCTAGGAAACATTAAAATATCCAAGACTAGGTCTCTCACTGAAGCAGGCAGCTCCCCTCAGCCTCCCCACTCCATGCTGGTTACATAGCGGGGATGAGGGACTTCAGGGGGCTGCATTGTTGTCTGGCCCTTGGGTCAGAGTAGACCAAAGAGGGCTCCAAGTACCCTCCCTGCTTCCTTTGTGTTCCCCCAAATTCACATGTTGAAGCCCTAACCCTCAATGTGATGTATTTGGAGATGGGGCCTTGAGAGACTTAGATGGGGTCATGGGTGGGGGCCTCATGATGGGATTAGTGCCCATAAAAGAAGAGACACCAGAGGGACTTCCCTGGTTGCGCAGTGGTTCAGAGTCCGCCTGCTAGTGCAGGGGACACAGGTTCGAGCCCTAGTCCGGGAAGATTCCACATGCCGCGGAGCAACTTAGCCCGTGTGCCACAACTACTGAGCCTGCGCTCTAGAGCCCGCAAGCCACAACTGCTGAGCCCGTGTGCCACAACTACTGAGCCTGCGCTCTAGAGCCCGCAAGCCACAACTGCTGAGCCCGTGTGCCACAACTACTGAAGCCCGCCTGCCACAACTACTGAAGCCTGTGCCTCTAGAGCCTGTGCTCTGCAATAAGATAAGCCACCGCGATGAGAAGCCAGTGGACTGTGACAAAGAGTAGCCCCCGCTCCCCACAACTAGAGAAAGCCCGCGGGCAGCAACGAAGACCCAATGCAGCCAAAAATAAACAAATAAATAAATAAATTTATTTTTAAAAAAAGAAAAAAAGAAGAGACACCAGAGATCTTGTGCTCTCTCTCTCTCTCTCTCTCTGCCATGTGAAGACAGTGAGAAAGAAGGCAGCCATCTACAAGCCAGGAAGAGCGCTCCCACCAGAACCCAACTCTCTGGCACCCTGACCTTGGACTTCCAGCCTCCAGAACCGTGAGAAAATTAATTTCTGTTGTTTAAGCCACCCAGTCCATGGTATTTTGGTATGATGGCCCAAGCTGCATGTCTTCCATACCCAGGTTTTCCTGGGGATGACCACAGCCAGTATCCACCCGCTGGGCCTGGACCCACTGCCACCAAAAGGATACTGCCGCAGCTTCTGCTGCTGGTCCATGGAGCCCGAGTGATGGACGATCTTGCGCAGGCCCTGCACCCAGTGCTGGGCTTCGGTGGGCGATGGGGCGATGAGGTCTAGAGTATTGCGCTGGTCCTTGAAGACGATGGAGAAGCAGCGGTCCTCAGGCACGTCCCGGGCAAACTTCTCCAGGCCCTCTGAGCGGTGCCCCATCCGCACCTCCTGAATGTCCTCGATGGAGACTGCAAGAAGGGGGTGGAGGTGGGCAGAGAGAGCGGTGAGGGGCAGGAAGATGGGCAGAGCGGGGGACAAAAAGAGACTGAGGTGGAGAAGGAATGGGACACAGCTATAGCGTGCAGAGTGGAAACGCCCAGGCAGAGAGAGATTGACTTTAGGGTGGGAAGGGCACTTAGGGTCCCAGGCCTCCTGTTTCTGTGCTGGGAGGAAGCAGGGCCCCTGGGAGAGGAGTGGGGCAGGGCAGGGCTCTCAGACAGAGACAGGGAGAGACCATTCTGGAGCTTGGGGCCTGTGGCGGATAGGAGGCCACACACTCTCCTGTTGTGCTTGACTTTGGGCCCTTCGCCTCCCTCAAGACAGCCATGGGAGCCTCCAGGCCCCTCTCCTGACAGAGGGAGAAGTGCTTGTGTCAGGGGAGCAGCCAGGGCCTTACCCTGCATGTATCTGTGTGTCCTGATCTCAGGGAGCCCCTTGGCAGGAATGGTGCTCCAGGATCCCAAGAGGTAGACTGGAGGGTACCCCTGGGGGTCTGAGATGACATCATTCTGCCCTTGGGAACCAGGGGCGGGGGCTGTCCTGTCACAGCCCAACCTTCCAAGCTTTAGGGAGCAGCAAGGCCCTGCTCACCTGCCTGGAACCCCAAGGTGCCCTCCCTGGCCTGGCTGGGAGGGGCTCATGCTGGGCCTCCCCACATCAGGAGCCAGGCTCTGCCCCTGCCCCATCCCCATCCCCATCCTGAGCCATCCACGTCCATCTTTCCTGGGTCTAGACCGGCTCTGGCTGAGAGCCTGCCTGTCCTTCCCGGTGGTGGCCTCCTGGCCACCTGCAGGCCCCAGGTGTGTGGCATGTGCCTGTCCGGGAAGCAGGCTCTGAGGTGTGAGACACGCGAACCCTGGGCCATGTGGGATGCAGGGGATATCCCTGCTGAATCGCTCCACTCACAGCCTCCCGTGCCCCTCTAGGTCCCACACCAGCTGCAGCTGCCCCAGGCTGGGAGTGGAAACAGGAAGCCTGGGCAGTGGAGGCCAGCTCCCTCACCGGCACCGGAGAGAGAATCCAGACGCCTTCCCTGCTGATGATAATCCTTCTCTGCCTATGGGAACCAGAGCTGAGGGAGGCTAGTGGTGTCGGGATGGGGGCAACTTCCGGACCAGGAAGCAGAGGCAAAGAGAACTGGGGACTGCTCCCCACCCCCATCTCCTGGCCTGTTTCCCCGGTGGGGTGGAGCACAGTGGAGGGCAGTCTCACTGCTCACTCAGAGGAGGGAAGCAGCCCGACAGGCATGCTCAGCCCAGGCCTGTCTCTGGGTCTCTGACATGGAAAAAGGCCTCTTCCGGCCACGCTCCTCACCGGAGTGCATCTGGTGCCCAACCCCCAACCTGTCGCCCCTGTGGCCCCTCCTGTCAGGGTGCAGGCCCCTCACTCACGGCCCTTCCTCGTTCTTGCCCCTGCACCTTTGCTCACACTGGGTCTCCTGCCCGGGAGGTTCCTCCTGCCCTTGTGCTCCCGGCTGTGCCGGTATGAGGTTCCCAGCACACCAGCCCAGGTCTGGAAAGGCCCACATCTCCCACTCCTCAGTCTGCCCCCTGCCCACCCCCGCCAAGTGCTTGGCTCACACTGGGAACCATGCACGTGTACTGGCTGGGGGGTGGGCTCCCAGGAGTCCCCAGGGCTCAGACAGTATGATGTCTCATTCCCACGGTACCGCCAACCGCCAGCGTCTAACAGGAAACCCCATATCAGGGCAGAGGCCTGTGAAGGAACCTGGCTGGAGCCACAGACAGAGGCAAGTGTCTGGCCTGTGTTACGTGGCCAACAGGCACGCAGGGTAGTTTCCTGAGAGCGCTTCAGGCTCCATCCCCTCCCACCCTGCCCCGCCCTGCTCAGACCTCCCATGGCCCACTGCCCCCAGGACCTAGCCGGGGCTCTCCGCATCGGACCCTGCTCCTGTCCTGCCTCCCCTCTGACCTGCCACAGGCAACACCTTATCAGGTTTCTGTCCAGTGTCCTGGGGCCTGGCAGACCCTTCCTGAGACACCTTCAGTGGGCTGCCCCTCCCTTTTCTCCTGCCCCCTTCCCACCTGGGCCCTGTCACCTGTATCTGGTCTCACTTCCCAGAGACCTGCCAGTGGGCTGACCCTGCCTGCCCCATCTCCACAGCCGAGGGCAGGTGAATGGGTGAGGGATTTCCAGGGACTTGGACTGTGTGAGAAATCCAGCTGCAGTGATCCTTCTGTACCACCAGCCACACGTGGTTATTTAGATATAAATTAGTTAAAGTTCAGTAAAATTAAGAATTTGTGGGATTTCCCTGGTGGTCCAGCGGTTAAGACTCCACACTTCCAAAGCAGGGAGCTCAGGCTCAATCCCTGGTCGGGGAACTAAGATCCCACATGCCGTGCAGTGGCACAGCCAAAAAAAAAAGAATTCAGTTCCTCAGTCACATTAGCCACAGTTCAAGTGCTCAATGGCTACAGGTGGCTAGTAGCTGACATATTGGACAGCACAGATACAGGACATTCCCATTATCATAAAAAGTTCTTCTGGATAGCTTTGGTCTAAAATTTTCCCACCAAGTAAAGGTGCAGAGGGAACCTCTTATTTTACAAAATTTTTAGGGCATTTTGTGTAAAAGGGCAACAGCAGTTGGCAGAACTTTCTTCCTAAGACCTTGCAGGAGGCACTCTCCATCTGCAGGCCTGAGCTTTGGCTTCTTGGACCTTTTCTAAAGCTTCCAGAAAGCCCTCAGGTCCACAACCCCAAGGGAGCTGCCCAGCCAAGGCCTCTCTGTGCAAGTCCCAGCCCTGCTCCACCCCAGGCTCCCTTTCTGGCCCCAGCCCAGGGAGGAGCTGCCTCCTGCAGCCCCACCTCACATCCTGGTCACTGCTACCTGGAAGGGCCTTATCTGCCCCTGGACTTTGGGACTCACCACACCTGGGCCCTAGTCCTCCCTCCTTCCCTCCTTCCCTCCTTCCCACAAATGTCTGGGTGGTTACCTGGGAATTCAGGCAACACTGTCCAGCTCCCTCCCTACTTGGGAGCCCGGCTTTCCCCATCTGTGGTCATGGCTATGGAGTCCCACCCCCAAAAGGCTTGAGCATCTCCATCTGTGGTCCTTGGTCCATGACTGCCCTCTCTAGCCCAGGCTAGGCCTCAGTTTCCCTATCAGTGATTTAACTGGCTCCTCTCCCCAACCCTGGCCAGGCTGTTTCCCCATATCTGGTCCTGTTTGCATGACCAACCTCTGCCCCACCAGGCCAGGCCTCAGTTTTCTTACCTTTGGTCCTGGTCCACGACTGACCTCCAGCCCCACCCCACCCTGACCAGTGTCAGTTTCCCCAACCAAGCGCAGGTGCAGCACCCTGCCCCTCCCCCTGCAGCCCAGGGCACTCACACAGCTGGGACTCTGGGGTCCGCATGACCTTGTGGGACTCCTGCCAGATGGTCTTGCAGTCCTCCTGCAGCTTGTAGAAGCGTTCTCTCCGCCATGAGTTGGACTTCACCTTCAAGAGTTGGCTGCCCTTCAGCAGTGCCTGTAGGTCCTTGTCATCCTGTAGACCTAGGGGGCAGAGCTGGTAAGATGCTACCTCCTCTAGGGTCCCTGCTGCCCCAGGCCCCATGCTGGCCATGCCCACCACTGGACCCTCTCAGCCCATTTTTCACCAGCCTCATCCTCAGCTCTCTGTTCACTTCTCCCTCCATCACCCTTGTTCCAACCTGATTCTGGAGCCCTGCCTTCTCCAGGAAGGCATCTCTGTTGCCAGCTGAGGCCATGTAAACCTTTGGACACCCACCCACGCAAGGCCACACTTTATACACTATGACCTGCCACCCACAGCTGAATGGACAAAGAGAGGGCAGCTAATTCAAGAACACCTGGTTCCTGCGTGACCAGACCCCTAGGAAATGGCCTGGCTCTGAAAGACTTAGTGGGCTCCTCCTAGGGGTCAGAGTGACCTGAAGGAAGCTGGGACCAAAAGACCACCCTAGCCTATCACCCTGGCCACATGGAGTCCAGCAGCCAGCTCTATTCAGAGCCGATGGGCTACCTCACCTCACTTCTGGCCCCAAAACAAAATCTCTGTGGCTTTTCAGCAATCTTTATCCTTCTGCTCCAGCAAAGTGGTGGCATCAGGGACCGTGCGGGTCCAGTCTGAGGGGCCTGTGCCTAGGCCTATAGGCTTCTCCTTTCTGAACCCAGATCCCCAGCCCCTGATGGGCTCTCCCAGTTTATCCATGACCCCACTCCCTATGCCCCAGCCAGCCTGCTCCACACACACTCAGGACCTACAGAATCTTCTGGACCACTTCCCCGGGCCTCAGCCACCCACCCCCTATCCCTCCCCAATCTCCTGCTTCCAGTGGAGACACAGCCACGTGCTAACAGCCCACCACACCCATGGCTTCAGGAAACCTCCTTCCCTCTCTGTGCCTCTGTTCCCCCAACAGCACTGGGTAAGGAGGTGTCTCAAGGCCTCCTCAGAGGTGACAGTCTGATGTGACCTTCCCCCACCTTGGTCCCAGCTCTCTCCACCCCCTGCCTTAGTGCCAGCAGTTTCCCTCCAGCCCCAGGGGAGGCCTAGTGAGGGAGGAGGGGGCTCCTGCAGGATGTCCTCAACCGGTGGCTGTGGGGCTCAAGACAGAGGCCAGGAAGGGCAGTTCCCAGCCGCCGAAGGAGAGAGCTGCCTCAGCCTCAGCTCAGCCGGGGGATTCCACTGTCCTTTCCGAGGCTGAGGTCAGCTGGGGGGGCCGGTCATCTCCTTACCCTCTGGCTTCTGGCTGTACCGCCCCTCCCCGTCCCCCGGCTAGGACATTAGGACAAGCCACTGTGCATGGCACAGATGGGGCGGGGGCGGCGCACAGGGGCGGAAGGTGAGCCCCACCCTCCGGTTCTGGAAAAGGCTGTGAGCAGATGACATGTTCATCCTGTCCTGGAGCCAGACTGCGGCCCTGTCTGTGGTCAGGCAGAGATAAGTCCCCTGGCTGCCGACATGGCTTCCAGAACACAGACCTCGGTCCCAAGGTGGGTCTTGATATTAGTAGCCCTCCAGGCCGCTGGGCGACCTAAGCAGACACCTCCATCTCTGAGCCTCATTTGAGGCCCTTTTGTTTCTGAGGCCTCTGGGCTGCCCGCCCCACCTCCCTTGCTCCCTTAGCACCCAGAAGGTCTATGGGCCCTTTGCCCAGCCCCACTCATTCAGCTGAAGCACCTTCTCCTCCTGTGGGAGGGTGGTGCTGAGGGGCCTCTGAGCTCAGGGGCCCCTGGGTTGACCTTGCAGCCTCACCAACCTGCCCAGGCTAGTGGCACATATGGGAAGTGCAGAGGGGCTACAGTGCTAATAGGAGGCTGGCGGTGGGGGCAGTGCCAGGAGCCCTGCCCATGTACCTAGGGTGAGGCCTAATGGAAACAGAGTCTGGGACTCACAGCAATACACAGCTACACAGATATAGCCACACACATAACACAGTCACACACACCACACCACCGTACTCATCACACACTGCCATACACAACCGGGAAGAGACAATGGGCCACACACGGTGACACATATTACATGGAGTCACACACAGCCACACAACGTACAGTGCCAGAACATCATCGTTGTCATAATAATAGCAGTCACCATAATAATAATAATAGTTCATGTTTGAATAAGATCCTGTTCTTAGCACATGTATTTAATCCCTCGAACAACCCTGTGAGGAAGGCACTATCATTGTTCCCATTTTACAGATGATGAAACTGAGGCTCAAGGAAGTTACATGGTAGAGTCGGGACTCAGAAGCTTGCCCACAGGGCCAATGCTAGAAAACATTACCTTATACAGCCACCACTCAGGGGCATGCTGCCACAAAGAGTAACAGCAGAAAACCCACAGAACACACACACCATAACAGAGATGAAAGAATCACTCAGTCACCTGGGTCACCCACAGTCACACATGGTACACAGCATCACCCTGGATCGCACACTGTCACACTGGTGCCACTTGGTTACACAGCATTGCATATCATCATTGCTGCACAGTGGCCCCCACTACCATACAAGTGACAGAATCACCACTAGGTTTGTAAACAGGATGGTTTGGGGGTGGCAAGGCGCAGGGTAACCAATCCCCCCCACCCCAGTACTCACTCCATATGCCATGCCCGCAAACACAGCCCCACCGTGGGTCACACACTCACAGAACTATACAGGTCCAGTCCCCGAGATCAGGAACATACAGTCTGAGTCCTGTCCCAGCTGCCTTCCCAGCCTCCGCAGATCTCGGGGGGGGGGTGGGGGGGGGGCGCCCCGCATCCCT